CCGTGTGGTTGCATGTACTACGTGCGCTAAATCTCCATCCACCGTTTATGTATCGTGTGATCCCATAGCTAAACTGGTTAAGGGTGTGCTTCCACGTGCTCGAAACAGGGGTTCTATTCCCGGGCAGGGTTATACTGATACCCTGTATGCACTACGTGCGCTATAGTATAGCTATACCTCCTTGTACTGTCTTATATTGTATAATCTCACAGCTCAACTGGTCAAGGATACACTTTCACTTGATCAAAGCCGAGGTCCTATCCCCCGGCACGGTCATTCTAAGCACCTAAACCATCGCAAGCAGCAGAGGAGGTTTACCGTGGCGCGCGCTGAAGTCGTGAATCAAGCCTTGATTATCAAGGTCGAGAATCAGAATCAGGGTTTGGTACCGGGGGCCCGGACCCCCGGTACGAATCAAGGCAAAATAACGTGGAAAAATGGAGATACTCACGGCGTGAGTATGATTCGGAATCACACGCTGAGTAAAAATCTGATTCTGAATCTTTGGCGTTCTCGAATTGAGTAAAATACTCACGAGTATGAGTTTTGAATCACAATCACGTTGAAAAAATCTAGAATCATGATTCTTACTCACTGGGTTGAGTAAATACTCTGACTCATTGATTCACAATCAGAATCAATGGCTGAGTATGATTCTGAATCAGCAATCATGATTCTGAATCAGGAATCATGATTCTGAATCAAGAATCGAAATCAACGCTTGAGCGAAATCAGGAATCAGGAATCGTACTCGCGAATCCTGAATCTGAATCTGGAATCAGTAATCATACTCACAAATCATGAATCTTACTCATGAATACGGAATCTGAATCAGCACTTGTGAATCATGGTGTGAGTTGAATCAAAATCGGAAATCAGATAGTGAGTTGAATCAGTGCCTGTGATTCTCGAATCAGTATCCGCATACCGCCCCTGGATAGTCTCAGTGGCATGTAAGGTATCCAGAGAAAATTAGACGCGGATATGACAAATCAAGAACGGAGTCAACTTTTTGACGCACGATTTGTTTACTCCTATTAGTATATAGTAGAGAATTCAAGCCGTTTATTTCATTCATGAAAAGTATGAGTATTTTTCACGCAATAACCAACCCCGCAATAACTAACCCTTCACATGCACTGAGTGCATGTGAAGCGATTGTTTGAGTAGCAGTTGATATGTCCAAGGCCTTCGACACTGCGTGGGTTCAGAAATTGACGCTGATACTTAGAGGGGTTGGTATAGGTGGCAGGCTCTTCAAGACTCTTGATGAGAGCCGCTCTTGGTATGGTTGAATGACTTCTTGAAACATAGGAAGTTTCGTGTAGGATGTGAGAGCTCTGTGAGCGAGACTATGCTGCCGAACTGTGGTACACCTCAAGGAAGTGTGGTTTCACCATGGTTATTTGCTGTGTTGGTCTCTCAGCTCCAAGATATTCCGGGTGAAAACTGTCTAGTGCTGCGATTTGCGGATGATATTTTGCTGTTAGTTAAGTCTGAATCAAGTACCAGAGCAGAGAGATTGATGCAGACAGCTTTGAATCCTCTGCAAAGCTGGGCAGACGATTTGATTCAAATCATTTGAAGCTTACTACTAACGCCCTTGAGACCCAGTGTATCGCTTTCACACTCGGAAGTACCAGGTTCTTACCGAAGTTGCCTTTGTATGGTCAGCAGCTGAAAGTACACCGACGCTAAAGTATCTAGGCATAATCTTAGATCCAAGTCTGAGCTGTCGGGCAAACGTTGATGCCCTGGTGTGTAATCTTGAGGCTAGGTTGAGTCTCGTGCATGCGGTCGCAGGGGCGAACTTTGGTTACTCGGCCGCTGTGTTTAGGTCTACGTACCAAGCAGTAGCGGAGTCTAGGATGAGATATGCGTTATGCACTCGAGTTGCTGCTAGCGTGAGAGTGCTAGCTAAATTGCAGATTACACAGAATGCTGGTGCGAGACTCATTATTGGGTTGCCGAAACAAACTTCTGCTGACTTGGTTCTGCGCGAGTCTGGACTGGAGCCAATCAACTATCTCCTGGATCTGGCCATTATAGGGTGGACTCTCCGGGCTCAGTCCTTGTTTTACACTCATGTAGCACAGTTGACCTTGGATGATTGGACGGGTTTGCGAAAATTGAAGGGAAGAGCCCCACTGCACAGATTCGATGATGTGATGGACGAACTATCAGGTCTACTACCAGATGCTCTTCCT